ATAGAAGATATATATATATATATATATATATATATATATATATTAAAAAGAACATTATATTTTTGTGTACATCAAACATTCACACACATCACTACATTAATATAATATAATATGTTGTTGTGCACCGAATATTAATAGGCATCTTATTATTATTGTTATAATTGGGATACATCTAAATGATCAGAAGCGGAGATGACCACCACACGTTGCCTGCTCCACACCTGAAGAGACGATCCTACTTTATTACTTAACAAGCGCCAAATATTGAATGACTAGGGAAAAGTTTGGTCATATACCGAATCCTATTTCATAAATCTAGTGGACAATATGGAATTTAAATCCACTTAATTAGTTTGATTGCTTCTTCAATCTTTATCATGACTTCAAAATATAAAATTTGATATTAAAAAAAATAGTTATGTTAATTTGTGCTTGCATTGCACATTATCTTTTCTTTTTTTAGTGTATATTTTTCGGTGTACATTGCATATTAACTTTTGTGACCATGAAAACTCACTTTGGTATAGCATGCAAATCAGGTTTATTTTTATCCAAATTATTTATTTATTTGTAGAGTATTTTTTTTTATCAAGGTCAATTTAGCTCAATAATCAAATATAGTCTGGGTGGACTAAGAAAATAGTAATATGAAAATAGTTTAGGTGAATTACTCTAAATTGGTGATCATCTAACATAAAAGTGTACATTTTATGACAAATATTTATCTATCCTAAAATATTTAAACATTTTATATCACTGGAATATATGATAATTAGAATCTATGATAGGTTCAAAATCAACATAAAATATTTAGTTGGTATTTTCTCGTGTTCAGCGAGTCCTGTTTAGAAAAAAAAAATCATATGATTTTTTCTGCAAGCATATTTCAATGAATATATATTATTTCCCTGCTTCTATGCATCTTTTGGTAGTCAAGCCGAAATCTCAAGCATTTTAAATGTGCAAGATACTCCTAAAATTTGCCAAGGGCTACAATTCAACTCCCTTACTTAAGTCTCTAATCCACTTAATTAGAAGAATGCTATCATTTCTCTCATGCAGAGGTAGATTAATATATACCTAAAAAAAGGTTTTCACTTGAAAAAATATTTAAATGATTAAAAAATAAAAATAAAAATCGATATCTTAAGCAAGAAATTATGAAGAATGTTAGCAATGTGTTTCTTATATTTTCTTTTATGTTTTTTTTTTTTTATGATTAAGTGAAATCCAACGTGACCCACTCCAGATAAGGCATACTAGAGGGAATTCATTGAATAAAATTATTGAGTTAGTATAGTTGGCATGTGAGTGCGAGTCTTCCTGTTATATATCAGTGCCTCATGTCTCATAAATAGATTAAATTGCTTAACAAAGGAAGGGTTTAAAATGGATGGAAATTATTTTGGGAAGAATTGAGGACCTCACCCTTCTAATTCATAAAGTCTTTTAAACGGCTAAACGACCATTGTGGGGTACTATTAGAAACTTATTACTAAAATGGGGCTGTTTTGAAACATTTTACACCTTTGGGGCTCTTTTATTGGGTGTCGCTATGGCCCATAGCGACACCCATGACACGTGGCATTTTTTGGTCTGAATATGAGCCATGAACGCCATATTGGTAGAGTCGCTGTAGCTGGTGGAGACCTTCAAAGAGTCGCTATAGCCTATAGCGACTCAAATCGGCTAAAAACGAAAAAAAAAAATTATTTGGGGCGCTATGGCCCATAGCTCCACTCAGGCGCTATGGGCCACAGCGCCTGTGTTAAAAATATATCTAATATTTTTAAAATATATCTTATATTTTTAAAATTTAAATTTTTTTTACAAATTTATAAAAAAATAACAGGTAAAAGGGAAAAAAAGATTGAAATAAGAAAAAAATGTTAATTTTAAAAAATAAGTAATAAAATGTAAAAAATAATTTAAAAAAAAATAAATTATTTGGGGCACTATGGCCCATAGCTCCACTCAGGCGCTATGGGCCACAGCGCCTGTATTAAAAATATAAAATTTTTAAAATAAATTATAAAAAAATTTGTGATAAAAGGAAAAATAAGAAATTAAATTTTTAAAAAAAATGTTAAAACTTAAGTAAGAAAAAATTAAACACTGGGCCGTTTTCGTGACTGAGAGAAGTTTGAAATTATATGTAAAAGTTCTTTTTAAATATAAAATTTTAAAAATAAATTATAAAAAAATTTCTGATAAAAGGCAAAATAAATAATTGAAAATATCATAGCGCCTCATTAATTGACCGCCTGCGTAACCACACAGAGGCTGACACGTGTCCACAGCTAATTTGAGGCGTTGCAACTCATAGCGCCTCATTAATTGACCGCCTGCGTAACCACACAGAGGCTGACACGTGTCCACAGTTAATTTGAGGCGTTGCAACTCATAGCGCCTCACTTGGCGCGTAATAAATTCACCGCATGCTTAACCAATGAGACGCTGACACGTGGCACTGCGGTTAAAAACTTTTTGTATGTAATTTATAATTATTAAAAAATTAAATTTATATAAATTTTAAAATGATTTCATTTAATTCTGTGTTATTTATGTTAATTAAAAAAATATTTTATTTA